GATCACGCCATTCATGCGACGCAGTCACGTCACATGCACCCGATCCAGTACCAGGGGTGTTGATCATCGGCATGACACTATTTTTAGTATATAACTGAGAAAGGTTATAATTATTTGACACATCGATTTAGAAGCATAAATCTTATTCACCTAAGTTATTTTATAATCAACCACCATGCATTTAGAGATTTCTGACTGCATACATTATTTTTATAACGATTACGGATCATTAAACGACTAGTATAGGTTAGGCTTAATAACCGGTCATAACCGGCTATAACTGTAACTAATGGTGACAAAAAGAATGAAAACCCGGTGTAGAGGTTGATTGTAAGACATTCAATCATTGTCAAAAAAAATGTAATTCATGACAATGGAATGAATGTTTTTGAGTGCAATAATCGAAATTTGCAAAAGTCCTCATAAGAAAGCATTATCTAATTATGAATTAATATTAAAATTTTGATAAATATAATTTTGAATTCGTTAAAACTTTTGGGCAGAATGCAGTTATGATAATAAGGAGTGTATGCATAGAATATAAACAAATTTTTTATGAAAATCTTTTTTATTAGAAGGAAATGTGGCGTATCGCGAGACCATTCAAATCTCATTTATGTAAATTGTGAACAAATGTTGTAGAGAGTTAACAGGCATTTCAGTATTTTGCGGAATAAAGTACCCTTCGTGCCAAATAATGTAGCTCTTCTTAGGTGCTTGTTGTAGACGAATGTGACGTGTATTAATTGTGATATTAATTTTTTATGTGTAAAAAAAATTTGCATCATGTATGTTCGTACGTACGTACACACATTATTTTAAAGAGATCACTCAAGTATTTCTCCATGGACCCAAACTCTCAGCAACAACAAATTATTATTTATTACAGCAACAATCATCATTATTTATTTCTCTCAGCAACAATTATTATCATTTATTTCTTATACTAAAAGTTTTTAGGAAAATTAAAATTATCAGAAGGCCTAAAAAAAATTATGGATGCTTATTGTACCATCTCAGCTTTTACTCATACGGCAACAAACTCAACTATTTTTCTTTATTTGGTACAACCAAATTTCTAAACCTAGTGGCGACAACATTTTATAAATATCCCATTATTAACTAATTTTTGCAATTTTTATTTTTATTGATTATAACGCTTGAGAAAACTTTTATTGCATACTGAATTCGAATTGTCATACAACGATAAATATACCATGTCAAGGTTTAACGCCTTAAATCTAATTTTTACTTGATTTGGCTAGGATGATTGTACAAATGTTTTATGCAGGGAAGTTTGGATATTTGTGTAATTTTATAGCATTTTATCTTTACATTAAAATTTAGATTAGCAGTAAGTGTACTAAATTTTATTTTATGCCAACATAATATTATCATATGATTAGACAAATTATAGTTTTAAAAGTAGTACAATAAATTTTATTTTTATCACAAATACCAAATTTCGCATAAAAGCAATCAAATGCTGATTTTTGCAAATACGTAAAAAAAAATATCTCAGATCCCCGATTTGCTCTGTACCAACCCAATAACAAACTCATTCAATTAAAGCTTTCAAATTAGAACAAAATGGACGAATTCACGTCTTTAGCTGAAAATAAACAAGATTCGAGCCAAAAAAATGATGATAATTTGAGTTTGTTCAAAACAATCATAAGAAAAGATACATATTTTGTTATGTCTCCGAAGCAACTAGATAGATTAAAGCTGGTTTCTGAAGCTGTTTTTAAATTAGCTAATGAAACTTTATTAGAAATCATAAATCAAAACGAAGTAGAATCATGGATGGAGTCAAGATACGGTATTGTTAAATCACTCTGGAAAAATGGCAAAACAGGAATAAATTTAATTAGAATTGATTTTGCCTGGGATCAAGAAAAGAACTTTAAAGTATTGGAATTGAATTCACCACATCAAGTTGGCTGGATATTATCAGGTTTGGTCGAGAAAGAAGCATCAGCTGATAAAATCGGTATTCCTCTTGCTCCCCAACCAATGTTTTATGCAAATTACGTGCTAAAAAAGTTAGGACCAAAAGTAGCAATTATTATCTTAAGTCCAAATGCAGAATATGATTTATTGGCAAGTCAAATTGAGAGTTTGGGTGGAAAGGCCAAAATTATCTATCTTTCCGAAGTTGGCTTCCAAGATATTATCGATTTTGCACCTACTGGGCTATTTTGGAGATGTTTACCAGGATTAATAGAACGTTCAGAACTGATAATCAAGATATCCAATTTAAGAATACCGCAAATACCTTCTTTTGAATGTATGTTTATATCTGGTGATAAATCATTTTATCCATCCTAAGTAATCGAGACACGACTGGTGCTATTCCTAAAACTTATTTACTATCAAAAAGCGACTTTACGAAAAATCTTAATCTTTTGGAACAACATAAAGCAGTTCTCAAGGCAGGTGATTCTGCTGGGGGTAAAGAAGTCATACTTGGAAAAAATTTTAAAGATAGTTGGGAGGATAAATTAAAAGAGATTATGAATTCTAATAGAGAGTGGATTATGCAAGAACTCTGTTATTATTAGATCCCTCTGCATTAAATACAAGATTATTTCTGGATTAACTATTATCCGAGTTACACGCATTAAGCTA